TCTTTTCTTTTTTTTTTTTAAAGATTTTATTTATTTATTCATGAAAGAGAGAGAGAGGCAGAGACACAGGCAGAGGGAGAAGCAGGCTGCATGCAAGGAGCCCAATGTGGGACTTGAACCCGGGAATCCAGGATCACACCCTGAGCCAAAGGCAGGTGCTCAACTGCTGAGCCACCCAGGCGTCCCCAGTTAAAGCTTTTCAATGATGTCTTCCGGAATCTTTATTTTTAAATATTTTTTAAAGATTTTATTTATTTATGAGAGAGAGAGAGAGGCAGAGACACAGGCAGAGGGAGAAACAGTCTCCATGCAGGGAGCCTGATGCGGGACTCGATCCCGGGACTCCAGGATCAGGCTCTGGGCCGAAGGCAGGCACTAAACCGCTGAGCCACCGAGGGATCCCTCTTCTGGCATCTTTAAACTCTTAAAGATGTGAAAAAGATTTACATCTCAGTTTGTAAAACAATTACAAATAAGTCAACATCAGCGCACTGTAGATGCCTTTATGAACCTAAGATTCCTGTAACCCACACGGCAATAGTGCCTTCAGCCGTTCAAAAGACCTCCGCCAATAAAGTGATATGAAATATTTTGGGTTCTATAGCTTCTTCTTTTATAGCACCTTTCTCTTTGGTTCCAATTCGACCAGATTCTCATTTCTCACTGTCTAGGGTAAGAATCCATTGAGACAAGGAACCCCTTTCCTTGGCCAGTGTCCTTGAGCGCTGCTTCTCGCACATTAATATCCATCACCTGGGGATCTTGTTAAACTTTCAGACTCTGATTCAGTAGGTGTGGGTGGAGTTTAAGACTGCATTTGTTGCAAGCCTCCAGTTGTTGCTGATCCAGGGAAGCAATAGTCTAGGGGCCTTCCTTTTTTTTTTTTTTTTTAAGATTTATTTATTTATTTGTTCATGATAGAGAGAGAGAGAGAGAGGCAGAGACACAGGCAGAGGGGGAGAAGCAGGCTCCATGCCAGGAGCCGGATGTGGGACTCGATTCCAGGACTCCAGAATTGCGCCCTGAGCCAAAGGCAGGCGCTAAACCGCTGAGCCACCGAGGGATCCTAGGGGCCTTCTTAAGCAGCTTTGGTTCCTGTCCCAAATGTTGATCACCAAAGCTTTCTCTGTGCTTTGCTGGTACTAAATCAACTCTCGACCAATTGCTGGATTAAGATTAGGCTGATAGGGCAGCTGGGGTGGCTCAGGGGTTTAGCACTGCCTTCAGCCCAGGGTGTGATCCTGGGGTCCTGGGATTGAGTCTCACATCGGGCTCCCTACATGTAGTTTGCCTCTCCCTCTGCCTGTGTCTCTGCCTCTCTCTCTGTGTCTCACATGAATAAATAAAATCTTTAAAAAATATAAAAAAAACTTTGTGGTAGTTGTTTTCATTTTGCCCATCAATCTTGTAGTTTCTGGCTAATTACCCTTACTTAGATCAACACAATGTATCATATGCTGTGAATCTCGGTCCTTAATCATCCCTACAAAGCGACTTGTGTGACAATAGTCATTTTCTCCCTACGTTCATTTCCTAAAATTTACTCTTTTTTTTTTTTTTTGTTTATAACTGGCTTTTCTTACTAGCCCTTTAAAAACTTCCACTGATTTTGGATTTACCAGACATGATGGGATTAAAAAAATGTTCATAAAACACCTCAAAGTGAGACACAAACATGCCACAGACCAAAAATGCAACGCTCAAAACAATAATGGTTGGGGACAACAAGTAAAGCTATTTCCTAGTGACCCGCAGAGTCTTTTGTTCTGATTTGGTGCTTTGTAGGAAGCCATGAAACAATAAATTGATAATTTACGAGCAGAGGTATTTAATTGAATAAAATTTAAAAAGATTTATCGTTTCTCAGTAACTGTGGTTTCCAAATCTACTGGATACTGAGGCATCTGTCTCCAAAGACCTGATCATTGGATCACTTACTCTGTACCAGGTACTATTTCTGGAAGGTTGGCAGAGGGCTCAGTGACAGCACCCCTCTCTCTTACTTGTCTGAACCAACCAAGAAATAAGGAAAGAGTATCAGCAAAAAGTGCCCAGAATATCACTTTCATTTCTGGTAAGGATGATGAAGCACATGGCTTATACAATATTTATGGGTAAGCAAAATTCCTGTTACTGAACCTCTGATTAAGATTTGCCTATCCAGTCACAGAAAGCACTGGGTCACCCCAGCCTCCTCACCTGGCAGCCAGTCCTTGTGAAATAGAGTGAGTGTTCTCTGCTGGAAATTTGCAGCCAAGATAAAGAAGAGAGGACAGGGCCAGGCTCCTTTGTCCCTAGCTCACTAACCAACATAGTCACCTCTCCTCTTCCAGGAAAGGCCTGGAGTGTTGTACTGTGGAGGAGCTTTCTCCACATGGGAGAAATTATCAAGAGGGGGAAGAGGTGTTCCTTCCCAGCCGTAAGCCTCATCCTTTATCTTATTTGATTCCTACGACAAAACAATCAGTATTGACTGAGTGTCGACTTTTGGTATTTTGTCCATCACATATCTTTGTACATGAATTTTGAATTTTTAAAATATTGCATCAAAATACTACTCATCTTAAATACTGAGCTTTTGAGGTCCTCTTAAATTTTGTACCTGAAGTGAATGAATGCCTTACCTGGCTCACCCTAGTCCCAGCCCTGAATCTAAAATAAATGGTGTAAAAAAACAAATTACTAAACAACTTTTTCTTAATGAAACAATTATTAAATTAGCATATAGTGATGTGTACTAAGTTGAGAAACAGGAAGTGATTTGTGGGTTACTTGAATAATCTGGGAAGACCTACTTAAGGGGATGATATTTAAGCTGAGATCTGAATGCCATGAAGAAGCCAGTAATGGGACATTTTGGAGAAAAGCCTGTGAAAAGGCCTCAAGGTGGAAGCGAACCTGGAATTTTCAAAGAACACACACATGCAAGGTTACTAAGGCTTAAATGTCAAAGTCATGATAGGTGAGTAGTACAGTTGACCCTTGAACAACAGGTTGGGGGTACTGATTCTCTCAGTCAAAAATCTGCATATAACTTCTGACTTCTCCAAAATTTGGTGGGTTAAATAATAGTAGATTAACACATATTTTGTATATGTATTATATACTGTATTCTTACAATATTACCTAATTTTTCTTTTTAAAAAAAATTTTTTTTGGTATTTCTAGGCTATGTGGTTCCTCTTCAAGTTTTTTCTAATCATTTCACATCTCCCAAAATTTTTCCAATGTCTTTATTGAAAAAAAAATCTGCATATAAGTGAATCCACATGTTGTTCAAGGGTCATCTGTACTTACTTTGGATAGAATATCAGGATGGGGTGAAATTTTAGGACTTTGTAAGCCAAGTAAGGAGTTTGAATTTTATTTTGAGGGCACAGGAAGCAAATGAAGGGTTTAAAAGTAGGAGAGCAACATGAGCTGATTGCTCTTTTAGATAATTCTCTGGCTGCCATGTCAAGGATGGATCGATTACAAGGGTGTAGATGCCAAGAGTAGAATCAGGGGACCTGTCGGTGTTCCTAGTGAAAGATGACAGTGCCTTAGACCAGGGTGATTATAGCGAAGACAGAGAAAGGGGAGCAGGTTCCAGGAATACTTTAGAAGCAGAGTGGTTTGGACCTGATGAGGGATGAAGAAGAGAGGAAACAGGTGATTTCAGGTGGCTTAACTTGAGCAACTTGGTGGATGGTGGGGGCCATTAACTGAAATGGAAAAGACCGGGAGATGAGCAGGTCAGGAGATGAATACGCAATCAAGACTTCAATTTTGGGTATGTTGGCTTTAAGATGCCTGCAGGATACATGTTAAGCAAGCAACCGGTCTGAATTGAAGGGGCAAGCAGGAGGACAGGACTGAAGAGAGTTGGGCATCTGTGCCTTGATGGAATTTCCAGCAGAGAGGAGCACACATGGAGAAGAGCGGGAGGCAGGCGATGGAGCCTTGGGAGCAGCTGCTGAAACAGGAGTGGAAAGAAAGGGAGAAGTATGATGTCCCTGAAGGCAAGAGAAGAACGTGTCTTAAAAGTGGTACAAGGTATGGCTTCCAGAGCCACTGAGAGATCAAGAAAAAAATCAGGGCAGATAAGTGACAAATGGCATTGCAATGCAACATGGGGGGCACTGGTGACCTGACAAAGGCGGCCTCCTTTGGTGTAAAGGGCATGGAAAGACTTATCGAGGTTGAAGTGGAAAGTGACGATGTTCAAATAGTTGATTACCATCCCCATGTTTTTTGTTTTGTTTTTTTAAGATTTTATTTATTCATGAGAGACACAGAGAGAGGCAGAAACAGAGGCAGAGGAAGAAGCAGGCTCCCTGGGGGGCGCTGACTGCACCCCAGAAGGCGGGAACACGACCTGAGCCAAAGGCAGATGCTTAACCCCTGAGCCACCCAGGCGCCCCGTCCATCCCCATGTTGTGGATGAAGAACCCGAGGCTTGGGGTGGTTAAGTGTCTCATCCAAGGGCAAAGCCGGTGGGGGCAGATCCCGGATGCCCTCCGTGAAGCCGTTTGCTACACAGACGTGCAGGCCGTGCAAGAAATTTACCCACTTCTCTCGCAAACCCGGAAAACCGATGCTGCCCTCGAAGAAGCCCTCCGCTGAAAGCCCTCGTTCACAATGCCCCTGCAGGTTTTCTAAGCTATTATTATTTTTTTTAATTTTCGAATCTCAAATTCAGTTTGCCAACAGGCATCTCCTAACACCCGGAGCTCATCTCATCGGGTGCACTTCGGCGTTAGAGAGAAAGCCAGAGAGACCCCGGCCGGGGCTGGAAGGGGCACCCGAGCCTCCGACGGAGCGCGCGGCGCAGCTGGAAGCTGCCCCTTTCCCGCCCCTTTCCCGCCGCCGCCGCCGCCGCCGCCGGGGCCTACTGCGGCTGCGCAGGCCTGGGCGCGGCGGGGGCGGGGCGCGGCGGGAACGCGGAAGGCGCTGCGGCGGCGGCGGCGGCGCGGGGCGCGGACGGGGCGGGGGGCGGGGCCCGCCTTGAGTGAGCGGGGCGCGCGGGTGACAGGTGTGGGGCGGCCGACGGCGACCCGGGGCCGCGGCGGGGGCGGCCTGAAGCCTCAGGGGACGAGACGCGGCGGCGGCGGCGGCGATGCTGGAGACCCTGCGCGAGCGGCTGCTGAGCGTGCAGCAGGATTTCACCTCCGGGTGGGTATACGGGGGGGGGACACGGAAGGGACCCGGGGGCTGGGCCGGGCCCCCCGGACGCCGCCTCCGTCCTCCCTCCCTCCTCCCCGCGCCCCGGTCCCGTCGCGGCCGAGGAGAGGAGCGAACTTTCCGGCTCTGAGGAACTTAGGTCCCGGCCTGGCCGCGCCGCCCGGTGCGCGGGGGATGCCCGGGCCCCTGTCCCGGCGGCTGGGCGGCCGCGGGGGAGCGCGGGTCACGTGGCGGGCGGGCGCGCCCCCGACTTCCTGCGGCCCCGGAGCACCTGCCGGCGGGGCCCGGGCTCCTGCGGGGCGTGGGGGGGGCGGGGCGGGGGCCCGCGCGGACGGCCCCGCTCCCCCTCCCCGCCCCTCCTCACCCCCCCCTCCCCATCCTCACCCCCCACCCCTCCCCCGCCCCTCCCCCCTCCTCACCCCCCACCCCCCATCCCCCCCCGCCCCATCCCTCCTCACCCCCCACCCTCCCATCCCCCCCCTCCCATCCCCTCACCCCCCACCCCTCCCCATCCCCATCCCTCCTCACCCCCCACCCCTCCCCCACCCTCCCATCCCTCCTCACCCCCACCCCCACCCTCCTCACCCCACCCCTCCCTCCTCACCCCCACCCTCCCACCCCTCCCCCACCCCTCCCCATCCCCCTCCCCCTCACCCTCCTCCCCCCCCCTCCCACCCCTCCCTCCTCACCCCTCACCCCCGCCCCTCCCCACCCCTCCCCACCCCTCCCCATCCCTCCTCACCCCTCCCCATCCCTCTCTCTCTCTCTCTCTGCCCGGGGTTCGGCGCTTCGGTGGAGAAACTCTCGGGCCCGGCGAGCGGCCGAGCCCCAGCGACACTGCCGCACCTGCCGGCGGCCCCACGCTCGGCTTGGAATCACCCGGGGGTCGTGGGCGACCCGCATCCCCGGCTGCAGCCCGGGCCCGCGTAATCCGCCTGGGGCTGGAGCTCCTCCAGGAGGTCTGCAGCCCCCGCGCCCCGTCACCGCACCTCCTGGACTCCAGCGAGCCCGCAACTTGGGAACCGCAGGCGGAGCGATGCGAGCGCCGAGGGGTGGGCCTGGGGGTGGGGGTGGGGGTGGGGGTGGGGGTCTCACCTCTACCCCCGAGCGAGTGTGTTGTTTTGCAAGTTAGCTGCACGGTCTTGCCTCGGTTTCCACGACTGTACAGAGATGATAAAGATGGAACTTGCAGGGTTTGGAGGTGAGCGAATGAGCGCGTGAAATAACCCGCAGAACAGCAAGCGCGGTGTCCTCTGTTGTTACTACTTAGCGCTTAGTTCGTTTGCATTTTCTTATTCATTTCTTTAGAAAAAGTGTCCCCTTCATAAAGAGTCTGTTAGCTTGTCATACAAGTCCTTTGGAGAATTTTCTGAATAAGGACATCTCCGTCAAACATCAAAGGGCTTTTTTTTTTTTTTTTAGATTTTATTTATTTATTCATGAGAGAGACACAGAGAGGGAGAGACACAGGCAGAGGGAGAAGCAGGCTCCACGCAGGGAGCTCGGTGGGGGGTGGGGGTGGGGGATTCCATCCCAGGACCTGGGATCATGACCTGAGCCGAAGGCAGATGCTCAACCGCTGAGCCACCCAGGTGCCACTAGGGTTTTAAACTTTCAATGAGAAAGATGCTGGCTAAGATTTTATGGGACAGAAATGTTCACATGCATTGCCTTCTGAGGGCTGAGTATTTGGGGCAAATACTTGAGCACTTACCACGTGTAAATCATTTTTGATACTTTCAGTTTGGAGTTCTTAAGGATAATTCTAGATGCTCCGGGAGTGCTTCATTTATGGGTTGTACGGGTTGTTTTTTTGTTTTGTTTGCATGCTTGCAATTTTTTTTTTTCCATTTAAATTGAAAAAGGAACTTCTGGGCAGCTCGGGTGGCTCGGCAGTTTAGCCCTGCCTTCAGTCCAGGGCATGATCCTGCCCCCCCCCCCCCCACATCGAGTCCCACATAGGGCTCCCTGCATGGAGCCAGCTTCTCTCTCTGCCTGTGTCTCTGCCTCTCTCTCTCTCTCTCATGAATAAATAAATAAAATCTTTAAAAAAAAAAAAAGGAACTTCTTTTCAGGGTGTAAATTATGTAATTTGGGTGGTATACTGGAATGGTTTGCCTGGAGCATGAGACTAGTGGTATTAGGTAAACCCCCCCCCCCGTACACCCCTGTTATCATTACTTTCAACGAGTTGATGACTTAACAGCCTAGCTTCTGGTAGTTACTGTAACTCTAGGTTGTATGGGTGCTTCAGAAGCTGTTCATTCTCATGACTTTTGCTAAGGTTAAACTTAGCTAGGAATGTGAACTCTGGACTCAGACCATCATGGGAGATCTGGGTAACCTGAGTTTAGGGTTTAGTTAGGAAGGGGGTTAGAGGGATTAGAAAGGGGGTTTAGTTAGATCCCCTCGGTAAATAACTAATTGACAGCGTGGTAGACTGGAGCCACTTGGGGATTAGACATCCTGGGAGGGCTTGCATTCCATTTAGGCACTTGTTTGGCTTCCTCCTGGAGGGATCACGCTCAGCTGACTAGCTACTCCTCTCCATCCTGGTGGTCTGTTGTGCAGCTAACTGGCGGCTCGAAACTCTGCTACTCACTTTTGTCCAGTTCACAAATTCCTGTGTGACTCTTAACCAAGAAAGAATCCTCTTAATTCATTTTAGTAAACTCTTCCATATTCAGCTTGAGATCAACCTATTTTGAACATTTTGTCCTGATGAGGAAAGATGAAATTAAGCACAGCGTCTGTGTATGTTGCATGAGGGCAGGGAGGGATTCAGAGGTGAAAATGATATGGCCCTCACCTCCCAAAACTATCAAATTGTACCTGACATACCTTTAGAATACTTGGTTCTCGTGCCTATAGAAACTGGAGCAACTGGTTTCTGAAATACTTCAGGAGCTTCCAGTGTTGGGTTGCCCAGGGGAATCAGTAGAAGGAAGGCCTACTGGATCTCTGTGTCCCTCAGTGTTGCTCTTCACAGTCACCCAGAGCACCAGCATCTCCAAGCTTTTCTGCTCATTTTCAACTAATGAAAATTCACGCAACTGGACTTTCTTTTTTTAAAAATATTTTTATTTATTTATTCATAGAGACAGAGAGAGAGGCAGAGACACAGGCAGAGGGAGAAGCAGGCTCCATGCAGGGAACCCGATGTGGGACTAGATCCCGGATCTCCAGGATCACACCCTGGGCTATAGGCGGCGCTAAACCACTGTGCCACCGGGGCTGCCCGTAACTGGACTTTCAACACAGACTGATTTATTTATTTTTTGTAGTAAAAGAGGATTAGTTTGATAAGTTCCCCAAGAAAATGTCACATCAGTGATGAAAGCATGTCTGATGAACACGATGAATTTCCTTCCACTTTCCACTCAGAAAACATGCCTCTTAAGATCACTTAAGGACAGTGGCCAGAGATGCTGGTGGTGTAAGCGGAGGGGGACTCTTAAGTTCTCCATGGACCTGGGGTCTCCTTTATAAATTTTTTTGAACAATTTGAGAGAGAGCACAAGTGCATGAGGGGCTACAGAGGGAGAGGGACAAACAGACTTGCTGAGCAGGGAGCCCTGCTGAGATCATGACTTGAGCTGAAGGCAGGTGCTTAACAGGCTGAGCCACCCCGGTGTCCCTTTGTAAATTTTTATTCATTATAACAGTTATGTCAAAATTGAGATAAACCTGGAAATTATATCATCTGACATAAGTGGGTAGCTGGCTGGCCCAAAGGACACAGGAGTGAGGTTCTGGGCCTCACTCTTCTCCCCTCACCTAAGTGAGGCCTAATTTCACTTAACTTACTCAAAACTGTTGGAGCCTTTTGGGAAGTTGACATAGAACATGCACTTTTTAGGGACAGACTTGAACTCTGAGGGAAACTTTGGGATATACTGAATCACATACTTCAAATCCACTCTGGTCTTTGGTTTTTGTCCTTTTGAGCGGTTCAGACCAAAAGCCTCAGGAATGAAGCAATGAGGCATGCAAAGCCTGCAGGGAATTGAAAATCAGATTTACTGAAGGTTTATAGGCTGCCTGTCACCGACTGGTGTTTCCTGTTTGTAATGCTCCTGGGTCTTGTGGGTAGGGATAGAAAACTTGTATTGTTGCAACTAGTCAGTGGGTGTTTCTCCCCAGAGGCCACCACTGTCCCCAGCTTCACCCCTGCCCAGCAGACTCATTTCCTCTGCTGCCCTTCTTTAGTATCAAAACCTGCTCAAAGGAGAGGATCGAATAATCTAATTCATAGTATGGCAAAATGCCGACATTTTGCCTAAAATTTTGACCCTTCCATGATTACTCGCCTGTTTAATAAGCAGGAAAAAAAAACCCTCAATATTCAACCCGACTTAATAACTATTTACTGAGTTCCTACTAAGTGTCAGACACCAGATGCGCTCAGAAAGTGTCCTTTTTCATGGAAGCTTTTTTTTTCATTTTATTAAAACGCAAACAGATTTAAGAGGCTTCTCCCTCAGTTTCCTTTACTAATTGGTGTCTATATCTTGAGCTGGATCCTGGGGCTGCAGAGTCATGGGCAATGGAAAGGGAAGTAGAGGGAACTGAACAGTAAAGATACAGGTGATCTGTGTGTCTGTGAGCCCAGAGGGAGGCGTCCTTAATTCAGATGCATTTACAGAAGGCTTCAAAGAGGAGGTGGCTTCTGTACTGGGCCTCCAAGAATGAGGAGGGATTATAGCAGATTTGGGTGAGGACGTTTCCAAGACAAGCAGTTGTGGGAGCGGAAGCTGGAAGGGAAGTTTAGTGACTAAGAAGATCTTTAGTGCTTTGCTGAATGAATTCATTTATCAAATACTTAGCACTTTGTGACAAGTGCCGTTCTAGGAGCCAGGATGTAGCAGAGAACCCGGCGGGCAGCAAATAGAGTCCCTGGGTTCTTTCTAGTGGCAGGAAGCAGAAGACCTCGAAGGTCAAAAAAACTGTCACCAACAGTACAGCAGGTTAAGGGAGTTGTGGGGGGGATG